CCCTCTCCCTCATATTCCCTCCTCTCTCCATCAGCGGCGTTCTTTCCAACACTGACAAAGGCTGTAGCGCTAGTTAGGAGGAAGCCAGGAGAGCCGCGTCGCCATTCCTCGCCCGGCGTCCGCTCGCTCTTCGCCCCAGTACTCGGTGTCCTTAAATGACCTCCTCGTCATGATTACGCAGACGCACGGGGCCAGGCCGATGAGCCTTCGTGTGCGTGCATGTGGGGGCCGGGCACAATGGGAGGGCGGAGGGGGGGGGATGGGAATAGGGAGAGGGGAGGATGGTGGAAAGAGGGAGGAGGGGGTAGGGAGGGGAAATAGAGAGGGGAGGAGGGAAGGAAGGCAAGAAGGGAGAGAGGGAAGGGGGAAAGGAAGGATTAGGGAGGAGGGAGGGAGGGAAGGAGGGCGAGAGAAAGGAAGAGAAAGAATAAGATAATAATGTGAAAGAAAAAATCAGAAAAAAACAAGAGAGAGAGGATAGGGAAGGGACGGAGGGGGGGGAGAGAATAGGAGAGATAATAGGAGAGAGGGGAGGAGGGGGTCGGGACGGGGGCCGCGCGAGAGAGGGAAAGAGAGGACAGATAGAGAGAGAGGGGGGTGGGTGTATGTGCGAATGTAGATGCATGCGTCCAGTGGACACGCCCTCATAACGAGTACACGCGTATTGGGAAATCCCCGGCCATCATGCCTCCCAGCCGGGCAGCCGAAGCTACGGTAAGCCACAGCCCACGCATCACCTTCGCCGCTGTTTTCCGTGGTAGCGAATCCTCTCATTTTCAAACATAATTCGTAATTAAATTGGAATCTTATCGAAATTAATCTGAAAATAAATCGCGTTACGCTGAACTTAGGTGTCGTTTTGGGTGTGCTGACGCGACCCAGCACGGGGCCGAGGCTCGAGTCAAAATGATTTGTAAACTTGAAATGGGGAAAGTTTGACGCGCGGACGAATTTAGTTAGTTTTAATGAATGGGCGCAGAAAATAACAAACCACCACAAACGCTGGACTGAACAAGCCAAGCGACGGAAGTTATTGCTCATTAAGGCTGCGAATTAGCACTGTTAGACGCAGCTGATCCCTCATCTGCATTACACCGATTTATCAAGCCACTGCATTTCCTTTGTTCATTTAGCCTCTTCTCTGCATACATCGAACAAAAATCATTATTACGCAGCCCTGGCACCCGGTGGCTCTCCTTTGCACAAATGAAGATTTCGAGGTTACGAAAACTTTAACCTCGCCCCACCAGTAATAAAACTTCGATTGTGATGGTAATTGGTAATTGATAATAATCATGATTATGAAAACACACACACACACACACACACACACACACACACACACACACACACACACACACACACACACACACACACACACACACTCTCTCTCTCTCTCTCTCTCTCTCTCTCACATGCACATGCACATGCCCATGCACATGCACATGCACATGCACATGCACATGCACATGTACATGTACATGTACATGTACACACACACACACACACACACACACACACACACACACACACACACACACACACACACACACACACACACACACACACACACACACACACACACACACACACACACACACACACACACACCATCTTCGTTGAGAATGGCGTCGGCCTGCAGCCACTGGAAGTACTGCAGGAGCATGGTGACGAAGGACCTTTCGCGGGCGGCGCCGTGGGAGGGGAGGGCCAGGGGGTTCTGGGGGAAGGCGGGGATCGCCAGGGCTTCCCCCGAGAACGACGTCGGGCGCCCTCGGGCCCTCCTGGCGGCCCTCGCTTCACGCTGCACGGCGGCGTGCGGGCGGGCATTACCGTCTTTCATCTCGGATTCTTCACCTTCGGGAGGCTCCGTCCGGCCCGCCCTCTTCTCCAGATCCCCGCAGGAGCGAGGGCGGACGCGGTGCGGCCTCCTCTTATTCACGGGTCTTCTGCGACGCAACTTCGGGGTGTGGCCGGCGACGTGCGGGGTGGGCGGCCCGGGTGCACGTTCCGGGAGGAGGGCTTCCTGGGGAGAGGCCGCGGTCGCGGCCGCGCCTCTCCGGATGGCGTCTTCGCCTGAGATTCGCCTCCGAGCGCTATCCTCATCGTCGAAACGGGTGCCCTCACTCAGCGCGCGCCTTCGAGCGCCCCCTTCGCCTGGCACGCGCACTCCGTCAGTGTCATCACTCGCGAGGTAGTTGCGTCCGTCGATGTTGGCAGCGCTGCGCCCCTGGCCACCGCCCACACTCGAGGCTCGTCGGCGATACCTTACTTCGCCGTGTGCGCGTCTACGCCCTCGCTCACGGGCGTCCGACCTCGAGTCGCGCCCTCGCCTGCCCCTTTCGTCCGGGGCGCCGTTCCGGTCGTTGGAGCTCTGACTTCGCCCACTACCTTTGCCGGAGCTCTGGCTCTCCCAGGCCGTCTCCAGGGCCTCGACTCTGACTGGACGCGAGGCTTCCGCCGCTTGCGTGACTCGAGGTGTGGCTCGAGGCGTGGCTTAGGCCGCTCTGACTTGAGGTGCTGGGTCTCTCCCCCCTCTTCCCTCCGACCGACGAAGGAAGGCTCTGGCTGCTTTCCTGCCCTGGAGCAAGGCTTCGATTGCTCTCCTGAGTGCGCGTGCAGCTTCGGCCGCTCTCCTCGATGGA